GGATGAAAAATAACAAAATCAAATAAAAGCTAGAGGGACTTCGGGGGCTGGGAAATACCACAGGTGGGGCTTTCTTCCTCCGAGACAATGGGCCCTGGGGTCCCCCCCATCATGGGGGGCACACACCCTCCCAGCTCAGACCCAGCACCCCGCGGGGAGGGTGGAGGTGGGCGGGGGAGGCAGCCGTCTGCCCGAGGAGGCGCAGGAGCCTGCAGACGAGGAACATCTGTGTCCTATTATCGGCAGAATGGGGCGCGCTGGAGAGCGTGCTGGCTCCCGCGTGCAGGGCACAAGCACCAGTGTGATTCAGCAGAGAGAGGGAAAAAAAGAGCTATGAATAAAAACATATGCTATTGCCACCCTGGGGCCAGATGTTAGCATGAATCAGTGGATGGAGACAAAATGCAGGGGTGGTGGGAGGCCGCCGGCCAGCCGGGTGTGGCCAGGCTGGCACCGGACCCTCATCCCCAGCCCGCACTGTCACTGTGACACAGGCTTTCCGCTGGGGCCGGGACATTTTCACAGGAGGGACTGGCGTTTGCCTGAGCCCTCAGGGACAGAGCCCACCCAATCTGGGGGGCTCGTGCCCCTCGACACCGCTTCCCACCAGCCTCCAGGGGGGACCGGAGGGGTTTCACGCTGGCCTGGCCTGGCTCAGGGGTTGAGCATCCACCTATGAACCAGGAGGTCAGGGTTCGATTCTGGTCAGGGCACATGCTGGGGTTGCAGGCTTGATCCCCACCCAGTGTGGGGCGTGCAGGAGGCAGACGGTCCATGATTCTCTCTCATCATGGATGTTTCTCTCTCGCGCTTCCTCTCCGGAATCAATCAAAATGTTTGTTTTTTAAAAGAGAGAGATTTCACGCTTTCACTAGTGACTGGTAAGAACCCGTCTCTCCTCCCCTGTGCTCAGCGGACGCGTCCTCACAGGCGTCCTGGCCCCGCGGGGCCCAGGCAGACAGACGGGACTCTCTGAAATGGCTTTATTAAAGGCTATTAATAGAAAATAGAGAATACGACCCGGTTACAAGGCGTCAGTAAGAACGTTCCTCTTGGAAAACCGTGTATCAAAGAGGGAGGGGCTCCAAGAAAAGGAGGCCGCTCCGACCCCCGCTCCGGGGGGCCGCCACCCCGAGATTCCCCACGTGGGCGGCGCATCCGGACCAACTGAATCCTTGAGCTGAATTCGGGGTGCAGGGGGGCGGGGATGGGGGTGGTGAATCCCAAAACATACCAGCTTCCGCTGAAAAGGGTGTATTTTTTAAAAAAATAATACACAGAAACTCCTGGTTTTAGAAGCTCCATCCCGATACCCAGGGAGGAAAGAGGTGGCGAGCATAAGAGCTTCATTCCCCTGATTGGAAGCACCGGGCGTCGACCCCCAGGAGGACGGGCAGGGACCCCTGTGCCCAGGAGGATACGGATCCGAGGAGGGCCCCAGGGTCGGGCGGGGTGCAGACCTCGGGCGGGGCCTCTGCTGCTCCCTCTTCGGTTCCTTGACTCCCCAAAGTGGAGCAAAGCGACAGGACTCGGGACCCCTCTGGGGTTTCCTGGGGGACCGTGAAGGGGCTCCGTGGCTCCGGGAGAAAGTGGGAGAGAGATGCATCGTCTTCCGGGACAGACAGGTCACCTCGTGGGCATGGCCCCGGGACACGGATCTTCCTATCCTGCCACCAACACCGAGGAACGCAAACTCAATGCCTGCACGGCCCCCAGTTCTTAAGGGACCCCGCTTTCTGGGCTGGAGCCCCCGCCACTGGCCGGGGGGGGATGGGAGGGGCTGGCCCCTGCTGGGACCCCAGGCTCCCTTCCTCCCACCTTTCTGGAAACATCTCTGCCCTTGTCTATTCAACTACATTTAAACGGCACAGAAAGAACCTGTATTTGCCACAATAAAGATGGTCAGCAGCCCGGCCGGGGTGGCTCAGTGGTTGGCCGTCGGACCTGTGAACCAGGAGGTCAGGGTTCGATGCCCGGTCGGGGCACAGGCCCGGGGGGCGGGCTGGATGCCCAGTGTGGGGCGTGCAGGAGGCAGCCGATGCGTGGGTCTCTCTCCTCGTGGATGTTTCTCTCTCCCTCTCCCTGTCCCTTCCTCTCCCTGAAATGAATACAAATCTATTCTTAAAAAACAAGAGTCAGCACACGGAGGCAGGTCGAGCCCAGGGCCCAAGGGGCCAGATGAGGTTTGGGGACACGAAGCCACTGGCGGGAACCAAACCCCAACACTGGCCGAGCCGCGGCTTTGGCAGAAACCTCCCTGGAAAAAACAACAAGAGAGGGCGGCCGCGTGCCTCCCCTCGAGCCAGAGAAAATATCTGGAAGTCGTTTCCGATCTGTCCCGTGAAACAAAGAGGCGTTTTTCTTTTTTTAGAAAACAAAAAAAATCCCAAAAACCCAGAGGCTTGGACCAGGTGCTGGCTGGCAGGAGGGGCGGGGATTAAGGCGTCGGTGAGCAGAACACAGTGAGAGGCGCCGTGTCCATCACGCTGGGGCGCGTCCCGCGGTTCACGCAGCTCCGGGGGGCCGGGCCGACTCCGGTGGGCAAAGTGGGGGGGTGGCGGGCCCACTCCTCCCACCCCGTGGGTGCAGGGGCCGCCCTGCTCCCCTGGGCAGCCTGGGAGCCACGCTCACTGGAGCAGCCGTGGGCCGCGGGGTCCCTCTCCGGGAGACGCCGTTGCTATGACGACAGCGGTCTCCAGGTCCCCGCAGAAACTGGACTCTTGCGCTTCTGCAGGCGGGGATCGGGAGGGTCCGTGGTGACTGGGATGAAGGAGCCCCAGCCAGGGTCGGGCTGGAAGGTCTCACAACCAATCAGAAGAGCCCTGTCCTCGGGTGACCCCGCCACCCGCCCTCGGCGTGGAGAGGGGGGGCGGGTGCGGACACCCACGGGCCACATCAGCAGCGAAGAACTTCCAGGAGGAAAACAGTACAAACGCAAGCAGAGGGGCAGCCCCACCGCCGCTCGATCTCAATAGGAAAGAATGAGACATTAACACAGAACGTTTAGACATGCAACGCGGACGGACGCAAGGATGCCCGGGTCCCAGGCATGGGCCCAAAGACGCCCCCGGGCCAGGCGTCACGTCTGTTTCCTGGACATGACGCAGGGGCGAAGGGTGGGGTCGGCCAGGGGAGCCCTGGGCGGCTGGGATTGGGGGTGAGGGTGGGAGGGGGGGCACGTGGGG